AAAAAAAAAAAAAAAAAAAAAAAAAAAAAAAAAAAAAAAAAGGAGCCTGGCTGATCAATGCCAACAGAGTAGGATTGGGTGCTTTAAATTGTCTCCCGCTGCTTTTCAGTTACATTGTGACACTTTGTTCCTTTTGTCTTGCTACTTTTTATGCTTGCCGGGGATAAGCAACCGGACTGGAGTCCTCCCAGAATATGTTTAAAAAACAAAAAAAAGATGTTCTCAAAAAAAAAAAAAAAACACGTCAGCATGCTTCTTTGTCACATCAGACTGAAGCATAGGAGGCTTCACCGCCACATCAGCGCTGTTTCAAAATTACATCAGCCTAGACTGCAGTTTGATAGCCTCATTGTCACATGGAATGCTTCAGGCCCACAGTCAAATTGCTGGATAGACCAATCTCCACTTGGTATGGCCTGCTTGACGCGGCGTACGTACGAGGGCAATCGATGCTGCCCTGCGTTGTCACAGTAATTCTGGGTGGGATAGGCGACAAAGTAGAAATGTAGCATTATAGAAGTGGGCAGGGGAGGGAGAATTGTGGCAAGAGGGGTGGTTGTTATGTGAAGGTGTTAATCATGTATGGGAGGGCATGGTTGAAATTTGATATCTAGTGAGGGGGTTTGTGAATTGGATGGAGTGGGATAGCGAGAAGAGGGGTGGTTATCATGTGGAAGGTGTTAATCATGTATGAGGGGGCATTGTTAGTGACAGACCTTTAGCGAGGGTTTGTGAATAGAATCGAGATAGATGTCCACATCTAGGTAAAGCAGGGCAGTTAGTCCCCTCATATGAGGGCAATCAATGTTGCCCTGCGCTTGCTATCCCAGCAAAATATTATTAACATACAAAAAAGTAGTCACAGGGACGCTGGACCCGATTTCCAGCACGTGCAGCTCCCCACGAATAGATTGGAGCCATCTCATGGCGGCCTCCAACCAGGGGGGTGCTCTTATCGCCTTCTCGGCAGTTGGCTGGCAACAGATGTTTTTTTTTTCCCCCTTAAAAAGGAAGAACCTCTCACCAATATCGACGGGAGGGAGCAATATGAAGAAACCAGCCACAAGACGAAAGAGAGAAGGAAGAGGTGGGAGGAAAACAAGAAGGGAGATGGAAAAAAAATGGAGAAAACAGTATGATTGCGCTCAAGTCCACAAAATCCCTTGAGGTGTGTAGCATCCTGTGACTCCCTACATGGGCCATCGAGGGCTACTCAAAGATCGTGGCCAATTTGACCAAGCTTCAATGTGCAGACCGACCATTCTACTTCGATAATGAGGCATGGGCAGCTTTCATGACTCTCAAAGCCGCTTTGCTATCCACTATGATCTTGTATATCTGTGACCCTTTTTTGCCAATGTGTGGCCAGGATTGGCACCATGTCGAGCACTTTAGCAAGGAAGTTCCCGCCGTTTATTCCATTGATGACGCACGGAAGAAGGAATTATTCGCCTTTGTCCACTCTCTCAAAAGGTGTCGGCTCCTCTTTCTCGGCCGAAAACAATTCAAGTTGGTCAGGGACAACAACCCATTGGTGTTTCACAAGTCCCAAGACATGGTCAATAGCATCATTGCTCGTTGGATGGCGTACATTGACCAGTTTTGTTATTTCCTCATTGACCATATCCAAAGGAAAGTCAAACCGGTTTGCGGATGCTTTTTTGCGGCGTCCGAACCTTTGCCTTACGGTCTACCACATGTTCAGCATCGACAACGACTTGCGATGACACTTTATCCGCGGCTATCAAGGCGACCCGTCTTCCACAACATCTATGCGTAATGCTCGTCTCCGGACCGGCCACCTTCGCACTATCAGATCCAAGATGGGTATTTGCTTCTTCGTTCACAGGGGAAGGATTGTCTTTGTGTGCCGATTGAGCGACACTTATGAGCGCGACTTCTTGGTGAGTTTCATGACTCTCCTCCCACAGGACACTTCGGTGTCAATCGCCCGAGGGGTTGACTTTGCCAACGTTTCCAACGGCCCGACCTCATCAACGACGTTTGTCGGCATTGTAAGCCCCGCAATCATCGCCCTTTTGGAGAGTTGCAACCTCTTGCGGTTTCATCGCAACGGCGCACATCAATCGCCATGGACATTTTCGGGCCCTTTCCCCAGCATAAGTCCGACTTCGATGGCATACTTACGGTGGTTGACTGCCTCACCAAGTTCGCCATGTTCTTGCCTTGCCGCTATCACGCAAAGGCATTGAAGTTAGCCAAGGTATTCTTCGTCGTTTGGGTACCGACCATTGCGACCAAGGGTTTCCCCAAGAAGATCATATGCGACCGCGACACTGGGTTTATGTCCAACTTTTGGACTGGAGTGAAGAGCCGCATAGGGACTTCCCTCATGCCGAGTTCCACCCATCATCCGCAATCTGATGGTCGAACACAGAGAGCGCAAAAAAACACACAGGTCTTCTTTGCACACTCATCCACCCCGGCCAAATAGATTGGGTCTAGGGTTCCCGTTGGTATACAATTCTTCTATCCACCCAACTATGAACATCTCCCCATTCGAGTTCGAGCATGGCTCTTCGAACGGATTCCCTTTGGACTCCATCATTCCTTGAGAGGCCGTGAGTGATGACCACGGTGCCTTCATCCGTGAGATGCAAGAGCTTCTTGTCAAGGCAAAGGACCAAATGCACAAGACGCAACAGTATATGAGTCGGTAGGCCAACTGGCAGCGTCTTTCTTGTCTGTTCCGCGAGGGAGATCTCATTTGGGTATCTGCCACAGAGTTTAGCCTTGAGCAAGACATCTCTTGCAAGCTCCTTGCTGAATGGACGGGGCCTTGGCGTATCATCTCGGCTGCTGGTGATGAGCCGGACGGGCCCTCTTTCGTTCTTGAGGTACCTGCCCACTTGCCCATCCACCCGGTTTTTCATGCTTCCAAGCTCACCCCTTTCGTTTCGGCGGAGCGAAACGACTTCCCCGGCCAACGATCACAAGACCTTCCCTCCATGGATGGCTTTCAAGAGGCTGGCAACATCATCCGGCATCGGCAGTACAACAAGAAGCCGAAGGAGTACTTAGTCCATTTCTCCTACCGCAGCCACAAGGCAGACCTTACCTGTATAGAGCTTCAGGCCACTGCACCGGATGTCCTCGCCCTATACGAGAAGCAACAGCAAATGCAAGCGATATCCTCGGCTCAGCCCACCCGTCCCAACCGGAATCAGGTTCCCCCTTCGGATCAACAGCTTCGCCCTTGCCATCAATTGCAGTGTACAAGCGGGCTGTATACTAGTTTTGTCGAATTTGTCATTGTCGGGACTTGATCCCGCACCGCAACCTTTGTTTGCTGTGTTGCCTGTTTGCCTGCTGTTTGCTTGTTTTGAGCCGTGCGGGACTTGATCCCGTGACCTGTAACCTGTGTGTTGTGTTTGTGAGTGTTGAGCCCTATGGGACTTGATCCCTAAGTCTGTCCCTAGTAGTCTCTGTTTGGTAGTCATAGGCCATTCGGCCTTTTCCTTTTGCCTTGTCATAGGTCTAGGTCCCCTTTTTCCCTGTTTCCATCTAGGTACAGATGAGTCTTGGGTTGTTGCCTTGAGGCCCTCCTAGGTCTAGGCAGAGGGTAGAAGTAGCGGGCAGGAAAATTAGTTCGGGTCTTTTCTCGTGGTTTTTGCTGGGGAAACTCTGCCCGTTCGTTGCCGGAGCGCTGCTGCGTTATTTTGGGCGAGGGCATCTTCTTCCTTGAAGCCCAGCCATAGCTGGGGCTGGGACACGGAGTTGGAGATCACACTGCTGCTATTCAGCAGCTCTGCACAAGAGCTTCCACAGGACTGTGTTGTTGGGTTTGGGCGCTGCCATTCTCCACTTGGCAGCCATGTCTGCTGTTCCTCATGAGGAACTTCGTTTTTGTCTTCTTCGAAGTGCTGGATCGGTTGTCTCCTTCTTCATCAGGACTTCCAGCGCTGGACTGCCGTGCAGTCGCTGAGCTGGTGCTGCTATTATTGGGGTTGCTGGTTCAGACTGGCAGGTTGTGACAGCTGTGGGGTTACTGCTGCTACGGCAGCCATAGCCAGGGGTATGAGGTGGCGAGGACGAAGAAGAAGACTCCTGTAGACTTCATTGTTTTTTGGTTGTTAGGGGTTGTTGTAAACGCGGTTGTGATTCTTGGAACAAGTACTTTGGATTGATTGGAGGAGGACAGGGGATTACAGAATTGAAACTCGTTTTTCAATTCTTTGTGTATTTCGAGCTTCCGCTGTGCATATCTTCTCTCCGGTTTTGTGTGGATTTGCGTCCTGCGAGTCTGCTCTGCAATTGCATGCGTGTATGGGGACGTGCAAATTCGTTGTGGATGGAAGTTCATTCGAGTACATAACAGTTGGTGTCGGAGCTGCGACCGTGTGCAACCGGCGAGCAATTGAGTGGCAACCTCCTTTCTGAGCGGCGGTTGGAGTAGGGACTTGTTGTCCACTTTCTTCAACGGATGTCGCTGGTGAGAGGTGGTGGAAGGTAGTGTGCGAGGGGAGAATTACCGCTATCAAAAAAAAAAAAAGATACGGAGTGGTGGAACGTTCACTGGAAGTTTCAGCTGGCGAGAGCAGAGTTGACCGCTGCCTCAACCCTAAGTGGCCCGGTGGACCTGAGTGTCGGGTGACCCTCAAGTCGCAGACCATGCCTGCAAACGGCACGGGACTTCCTTCTGGGCCGCTGCTGCAGTTACTTCGACGAGTTACTTGATTGGAAGACTGTGGGAGTCTTCGCTGAAGGTTTGACGTTGACGTCAGACTGGTTTACGATATTCTGCGACAGTGGTAGGACCACTGTTGACCAACCGGAAATCTTCAATCAAGTTTTGCTTGCGTGAGTTCGTTCCGAAAAATCGCATGACCTGAAGTCAGACCCTGTCAATATTCAGTGTCTGTCAGTCATCAGTCTGTGTGCAGTCTCGGTCAGATAGGTCGTCAGTCACCATTCTTGTTGTTTCTGACCCCTCTCTGAATCTGTTCTAATCCAAAAAAAAAAAACAAAAAAAAAAAATGGAATTGCATCCCATTGACCCTGATCTGTTTTGATTGCCTACCTGGTTCTGTGAGCGGCAACCGAAATTGGTTGTCGGTCTGTCGGTCAGTCCTGTCAGTTGGAAGTCAGAAATTGGTCAGTCAGTATTGAATATTGCCTATTCGTATCAGCGGTCAGAACGTCAGTGAAATGACATATTCCTTTTTTTTTTTTTTTTTTTCAGGGCCTTGTGGTCCCGGCTCCATTYTATTCTGGGGAGCGTCAGTCCGGTTCCTATTCCACCGGCAAGTCAAAAATTATTACATCGTTGGGATTCACTCACGCTTCCTTCCGTCTGGCCGAAGGACCCCTGGACAGCATTGATTGCTCCACCTCAGTGGAGGATTGACTGCCCACTTGCCCATCCCCTCTCTTTCCTCTCAGACCGGGCAAATAGGTCTGCCAAATTTCTTCACAGAATCCTAGAAAGAGTCCCTCTATTGTGAACATCCACCCGAGCCCTTCTCGTTCCACCTGTTTTTTCTTTTTGCCTAAGCCACCATTAAACCCTGAACCCTAAACCCTCGTCCTTCTTTGACTGCACCCCGATATGCCATTCCCATTCAAGGATCGCCTTCCTCATTACTGCGGGACTCTTTGCTTTGACCCTTTTACTTCCTTTGCTCGCCTGCGTTACTAGCTTGCATCCTGGTCCGCACCGCTGTAATTCAAGAGTAGTGTCCCG